TTCTAGTTCAAGCTTTTCTTCATAGGATTGCATCAAAGCATCAACGATATGTTTAGTAAAAGCTTTATTTTGATTATAAGCATAAGGAGAATTTAACACGGATTGCAACAGGGAAATACAATCTATCAAAGAGCAATTATCATAATTAAATCCCTTGAAATCCAAAATAGTGGGTTCATTGCTATGTAAAGTTTTGACCTATTCAATCCCACTTTTATCAATTTTGCATCTAGATCTAAAAACTCCGAATCATTGGGACGCCTTTTAACTAAAGTTGACTCATCTCCAGTTCCATCTTTATCAAGATTCATATTGGAAAACAAAGATTTAATAGGAGTCACATCAATCACTTTTAGATCTTCATCATTATTATCATAAAAACTAGAAGAACACGCTTTCACAAAGCAATCTTTTTTAGCACGCATCCTAGGTGTTCTTTCTTTGCACTCATCAATGGAAATTCTCATAGATTTGAGAGACTCATTGATATCATGCTTAGGTGGAATAGATCTAAGTTTCAAAGAATCAACATCAATAGAAATTTTATCCACGTTCCTAGCCAACTCATCAATCTTAAGCAATTTTTCTTCAACCAAAGCATTGAAATTCTTTTGCGAACTCATAAATTATTTAACACTATTCTCAAAATCAGAGGGCATCTTATTAAATTTCCATAAGAGTTGTTGTAGGAATTACCATAATTATTAGAGGAATTACTAGGAAATGGCCTAGAATTAAAATTGCCTCTATACACGTTGTTACCAAAAATTGTTCCTACCAACAAAATTCAGATACATAGGTTCATTATTATTCTAAATCAAAGTGGACAAATGCATATCATTAGGATCAGAAGAAACACTTTTATTAGCAAATAATTTCATAAGTTCATCCATCTTTCCACTCAGAACATTAATCTCTTCAATTGCATGGACTTTTCTACTAGTGGATCTTTCGGTGTGCCATTGATAATAATTAACCATAATATTGTCTAGGAGTTTAGTAGCTTCTCCTAAAGTGATTTCCATAAAAGTGCTTCCCGCAGCCGAATCTAAAAGATTTCTAGAAGCAAAATTTAATCCAACATAAAAATTTGTATAATCATCCACAAATTCAAACCATGTGTAGGGCAATTACGTATCATTAATTTCATTCTCTCCCGAGCTTGTGCAACATGCTCATGATCAAGTTGCTTAAAATTCATAATATCGTTCCTAAAAGAGATGATCTTAGCGGGAGGAAAATACTTAAAGATAAAAGCATCCTTGCACTTATTCCATGAATCAATACTATTTTTAGGCAAAGAAGAGAAATAAGTTTTAGCACGATCTCTAAGCGAAAATGGAAATAGCTTCAATTTAACAATATCACTATCCACATCTTTAATCTTTTGCATATCACACAAATCAAAGAAGTTTTTTAGATGGGTAGCGGCATCTTCACTAGGAAGCCCAGAAAATTGATCTTTCATAACAAGATTCAACAAAGCGGTATTAATTTCACAAGATTCAACATCGGTAGTAGAAGCAATCGGAATGCTAATAGAATCATTGTTGTTGGTATTGGAAAAGTCACACAATTTAGTATTATCTAGAGCCATCGTGACAAGCAATCAATCCAACACACAAGCACACAAGAAGCAAGCAAAAAGAGACAAACGGAAGAGGGGCGAAGAAAACGCAAAGGTTTTCGAAAATCATTTTAGAAGTGGGGGAGAGGAAAACGAGAGGCGAATGGCAAATAATGTAATGCGATGGAGAAGAGTTTATGATGGGTACTTGGTATGTCTTGACTTGGCGTAGATCTCCCCAGCAACGGCGCCAGAAATCCTTCTTGCTACCTCTTGAGCATGCGTTGGTTTTCCCTTGAAGAGGAAAGGGTAATGCAACAAAGTAGCGTAAGTATTTCCCTCAGTTTTGAGAACCAAGGTATCAATCCAGTAGGAGATGACACACAAGTCACCTAGTACCTGCACAAACAATCAAGAACGTTGCAACCAACGCGATAAAGGGGTTGTTAATCCCTTCACGATCACTCGCAAAAGTGAGATCTAATAGAGATAATAAAGTAAATATTTTTGGTATTTTTGTTGTATAGATTGGAAAGTAAAGATTGCAAAATAGTAAACGAGATGCGATGTAAATAAAAGAGATGTAACATAATAGGAAAGAGACCCGGGGGGCATAGGTTTCCCTAGTGGCTTCTCTCAAGATAGCATATATTACGGTGGGTGAACGAATTACTGCCGAGCAATTGATAGAAAAGCGCATAGTTATGAAGACATCTAAGGCAATGATCATGAACATAGGCAGCACGTACATGTCAAGTAGACCGAAACGATTCTGCATCTACTACTATTACTTCACACATCGACCGCTATCCAGCATGCATTTAGAGTATTAAGTTCATAAGAACGGAGTAACGCATTAAGCAAGATAACGTGATGTAGAGGGATAAACTCAAGCAATATGATATAAACCCCATCTTGTTATCCTCGATGGCAACAATACAGTACGTGCCTTGTTGCCCCTACTGTCACTGGGAAAGGACACCACAAGATTGGACCCAAAGCTAAGCACTTCTTCCATTGCAAGAAATATCAATCTAGTAGGCCAAACTAAACCGATAATTCGAAGAGACTTACAAAGATATCAAATCATGCATATAAGAATTCAAAGAAGAACCAAATAATATTCATAGATAATCTTGTTCTTAAATCCACAATTCATTGGATCTCGGCAAACACACCGCATCGAATAGATCTCCAAGAACATCGAGGAGAACTTTGTATTGAGAATCAAAGAGAGATAAGAAGCAATCTAGTTAACAACTATGGACCCAAAGGTCTGTGGTAAACTACTCACGCTTCATCGGAGAGGCAATGGTATTGATGTAGAAGCCCTCCGTGATCCATTCCCCCTCCGGGAGATCGTCGGAAAAGGCCCCAAAATGGGATCTCACAGGTACAGAAGGTTGGGGCGGTGAAAGGTGGTTTCGTGGCTCTCCCTGATGTTTCTAGGGTATAAGAGTATATATAGGCGAAAGAAGTACGTCGGTGGA